GAAGGGAGAAACAGGCACAATAACAATAATAAAAACTTCAATACCCCACTTTGCATAATGAAGGGAATGAATCAGATGATCAACAAGGATATAGAAGACTTGAACAACGCTACAAACCACTTAGACTTAACAGACCTCCACAGAGCACACCATCCAATAGGAGAACACACATTCTACTTAAGAGCGTGTAGAACACTCTTCAAGGTAGACAGTATGGTAGGCCATAACACAAATCCAATATATTTAAAAGAACTGAAATCATACCAAGCGTGTTTGCCAACCACAATGGACTGAATTAGAATAGGTATAAATTAAGTAACACACTCCTAAATAGCCAACAGATAAAAATAAGAAATCACAAGGTAAACTAGAAAATACTTAGAGGTGAATGAAAACAAAAACACAATATATACTAAAACATATGAAATGCAGTTACAGCAGTGCCCAGAGAGAAATTTATAGCTGTACATGTCTATATTAACAAATACATGGCCGGGTGTGGTGGGTCACGCCTGTAATCTGAGCACTTTGGGAGGGCAAGGTAGGTTGGATCACCTGAGGTCAGGAGTTCAAGACCAGCCTGGCCATCGTGGTGAAACCCTGTTTCTATTAATAATACAAAAATTAGTTTGGCATTGTGGCCTGTAATCCCAGCTACACGGGAGGTTGAGGCTTGAGAATCGCTTGACCCCGGGAGGCAGAGGTTGCAATGAGCTGAGATCGTGTCATTGCACTCCAGCCTGGGCGACAAGAGGGAAACTCTGTCTCAAAAAAAACCAAACCAAAAACAACAGATATGTCATACTAATAACTTAACTTTTCACCTTAAGAAACTAGAAAAATAAGAGTAAACTAAGTGCAAAGTAAATAGAAGGAAGGAAAGAAATAAATATTAGAAAAGAAATAAATGAAACAGAATAAAACAACAAAACAGAAAATCAATGAAAACAAGTTGTTTCTTTGAAAAGATCGACAAAATGGACAAAATTTTAGCTAAATTGACCAAGAAAAAAAGAGAAGCCTCAAATGATTAAAATGGGGTATAAAAAGAGGGGGCATCATTGATTTTATGGAAATAAAAGAGATTATAAGGGAATACTATGCCAACAAATCAGATAACTTAGCTAAAATGGACAAAACCCTAGGAAGACACAAACTATAGAAACTGATTTAAAGGTGAAATTAAAAAAAAATCTGAAGTTCTATATCAAGTGAAGAGTGTGAATTAGGCCAAAGCCCAAATGCCTTCACTGGAGAATTCTACCAAAATATGACAAAAAATTGGTATCAGTCTCTCACAAACTCTCAAAAAATAGAAGAGAAAGGGACACTTTTTGATTCTATGAGAGCAGTATTGCCCTGATTCCAAAATAAGACAAAGACATCACAAGAATAGAAAACTATGGACCAGTATCCCTTATAGAGAAACACAAAAATCGTCAACAAAGTACATCAACACAGAAAATTTAACCTGACAACATGTAAAAGGATAACATACTATGAGCAAATGGGATGCATTACATGAATACAAGGTTGATTAAATATCTGAAAGCAAATAAATATAATGAACCTTATCGGTAAAGGACAAAAACCACATAATCAATTTAATAGGTTCAGAAAGGGCATCTGACAGATCTAATACCAATTCATGATAAAAACACTCAACGAACTGGAAGTAGAAGGAAATTTCCTCAAGCCAATACAGGGCATCTGAGAAAATCTACCACTAACATGTTACTCTGTGGTGAAAGATGAAATGCTTTCCCCAACCATCAAGAGCAAGACAAGGATTTTGGCTCTTGCTGCTTCAATTCAATATTGTACTAGCTATTCTAGCTAGATAAATTAGGCAAGAAAAAGAAAGAACAGGCTTCCAAATTGGAAGAAGTGAAACTCTCTATATTTGCAGATGACATGGTATTGTATGCAGATAATAATAATGTATCCATTAAAAAAAAGATTGTAGGCTGGGCACAGTGGCTCATGCCTGTAATTCCAGCAGTTTGGGAAGCCAAGGCGGGTGGATCACGAGGTCAAGAGATTGAGGCCATCCTGGCCAACATGGTGAAACCCCGTTTCTACTAAAAATATAAAAAAATTAGCTGGGTGTGGTGGTGCGCGCCTGTAGTCCCAGCTATTTGGGAGGCTGAGGCAGGAGAATTGCTTGAAACCGGAAAACGAAAGTTAGTGAGCTGGCATTGCGCCACTGCACTCCAGCCTGGTGATAGAACAAGACTCTGTCACGCACGCGCGCGCACACACACACACACACACACACACACACACACACACACACAGATTGTTCAATCCCGCATGATGGCTAACTCCTGTAATCCTGGCACATTGGGAGGCTGAGGCAGGAGGATTGCTTGAGTCCAGAAGTTTGAGATCAGCCTGGGTAACATAGTGAGACTCTGTCTCTATAAAAAGTAAAAAATTAGGCATGGTGGTATGTGACTGTAGTTCCAGCTACTTTTGAGGCTGAGGTAGGAGGATCGCTTGAGCCTGGGAGGTGAAGGCTGCAGTGAGCTGTGATTGTGCCACTGCATTCCAGCCTGGGTGACAGACCAGGGCCCTATCTCAGAAACAAAATACAAAACAAAATGATTGTAACCAATAAATTTGTTCAACAAGTTTGCAAAATGCAAAATCCATACACAAACCAATCATATTTCTACATTCTAGTATCTGAAAATGAAATTAAGAAAACAATCCCATTTACAAAAGCATAGAAAAGAATAAAACAGGGATAATTTTAAGAAAAGAAGTGTGAGACTTGCACATTGGAAACTACAAAACATTGTTGAAAAAATTAAAGATCTAAATACATGGAAAGAAACCCTATATTCCTGGATCAGAAGATTTAATATTGTTCAGAAGGAATAGAATGCTCTCCAGATTTATCTACAGAGTCCAAGAAATCCCTATCAAAATTCCATCTTAATTTTTGGGAAAGTTGGCAAGCAACAAGCCAGGCTCAAGCAATCCTAAAATTCGTATGGAAGTTCAAGGGACCCCAAATAGCCAAAACTATTTTTAAAAATAAGAACAAATGTGGAGGGGGCTCAGACTTCCTGGTTTCAAAATGTACCACAAAGCTACGGTAATAAATGATGTGGCAATGGCATCAGGATTGACATACAGATCAGTGGGCTAGAGCTGCAAGTTCAGAAATAAATGCTTACATTTACAGACTATTAATGTTTAACAAAGTGACCAAGGCAGTTCAAGTCAACAAATGATGCCGTAACAATTGGGTATTCAGATATAAAAAAATTAAGTTAGATCCTACCTCATACCATGTACAACAACTACCTCAAAATTGATCATAAATCTAAATGTAAGAACTAAAACTATAAAAGTCTCAGAAGAAAATACAGAAGTAAATCTTCATAACCTTTGGTTAGGCAATGGTTTCTCAGATTTGACCACAAAAGAATAAACAACAAAGAAAAAAAGATAAACTGAATTTCACTGAAATTAAATTGTTTCTTCCTCAAAGGACACCATCAAGAAAGTAAAAAGGGCTGGCGTGGTGGCTCACGCCTGTAATCCCAGCACTTTGGGAGGCTGAGGCGGGTGGATCATTTGAGGTCAGGAGTTCAAGACCAGCTTGGCCAACATGGTGAAACCTTGTCTCCACTAAAAATACAAAAACTAGCCAGGCAGCAGTGGTGCACACCTGTAATCCCAGCTACTCAGGAGGCGGAGGCAGGAAAATCGCTTGAGCCTGGGATACGGAGGTTGCAGTGAGCTGAGATGGCGCCACTGCTCTCCTGTCTGGGGGAGAGAGTGAGACCCAGTCTCAAAAAAAAAAAAAAAAAAAAAAAAAGAGAAAAGAAAAGAAAAAGAAAGGAAAAAGACAACCTACAGAATGGATGGGTGAAAATAATTGAAAATAATGGGTGAAAATATTTGCCAATCATATATCTGTAAAGGGTACAGTATCCAGAGTATATTAGAAACTCTTATAACCAAAATAAAAAGACGGCCCAATTAAAAAACAGTCAAAGCATTTGATTAGACACTGCTTAAAGAAGATATTCAAAGGCCAGTAATTACATGAAAGATGCTCAACACTATTGGTCATTAAGTGCATGCCTGACTGTAATAAAAAAGATGATGACACGTGTTGGCTCGGAGAAATCAGAACCCTCATACACTGCAGGTGGGAAAGTAAAACGGTACAGCCCCTCTGGAAAACAGTTTGGCATTTCCTCGGGAAGTTAGAGTTACCACAGGACTCAGCAATTCCACACCTAGATTTATACCCAAGAGAAATGAAAGCAGATGTTCAAACAAAAATGTGTACATGAATGTTCATAGCAGTGTTATTCATTATAGATACAAAATGGAAACAACCCCAGTGTCCATTAACAGAGGAGTGGATAAACAGAAGGTGGTATATCCATACAATGGAGTATTATGCAGCCATGAAAAGAAATGAAGATACATGCTACAACATGGATGAACCTCAGAAACATGCTAAGTAAACAAAGTCACAAAAAATCATTATTATATGATTCAATTTATACGACAAAAAGTAGATTAATGGTTGCTTAAAGCAGGTGATGAGAGGTAGGGAGTGACTGCAAATGGGTGCTGGGTTGTGTTTCCTTTTGGGGATGATGGAAATGTTGTGAATTTACATTTGACGAACATAGTTTAAGAGTCTACTAGAAAGTGTTTAGCTGTACACTTTTTTTTAATTTAACATTTTTTAAAAGATGGTTTTGAGACAGGGTCTCACTCAGTTGCCCAGGTTGGAGTGCAGTGGAGCGATCTCAGCTCACGGCAGCCTTGACCTCCTGGGCTCAAGCCATTCTTCCATCTTTGCCTCCTGAGTAGCTGGAATTACAGGTGTGTGCCACCATGCCTGGCTGATGTTTTGTATTTTTGGTAGGAGCGAGGTTTTGCTATGTTCCCCAGGCTGGTCTCACATTCCTGGGCTCAAGTGATCCACCTGCCTTGGCCTCCCAAGGTGCTTGGATTACAGGCATGAGCCACTGCACCTGGCCTAGCTGTACACATTAAATTGGTGAACTTTATGTTATATGAATTATATCTCAATAAAGATATTTCAGGAAACTAAAACCAAAAAGCCACCTTAGGGCTGATGGGAGAGGGAGACAGAGGACCCACAGTGTGACTCCTAGGGTGCAGCTGCTCACAAATGTGGGGTCCACTCTGCAGCTTTCCTCTGAGGTAAGGGTTGGTGGTTGTACCCTCTCCAGGCTCTAGCACTGGACACGAGTGGAGACAGATGCTCTTGGACCTGAACTGGCCTTGCCACAGACAAGTCAGTGTGGTGCGTCCTCAGCGCCCCTCACGGCGAGGCCTCCATAGGGTTAGGGATGTGGTGCAATCACAGTGACTTGTGATTTGCAGCTCTCTGAAAAGCACTTGCCCCTGTCTTGTGGAGTTACTGCTGTGAGTCCCACTTAATAGGGAAACCTGAGCCAGAGATGGGAAGGGGCTTGAGCAAGGTCAGTTGGGTATTAGTGGAGGTCAAATGGTCCTCAGCCTGGTGCGCTTTCTTCTTCCTGTCACTCTGTTCTTCATCTACAAATTGCTCCCCTCTCTGCTGGGACAGGGAGGCGGATCACAGCAGGGCCAGCCCTACTAGTCTTTGCTTCTTGGCAAGGGTGCAGATTATTATAACATCTGCTTTGCAGGGATCCCACTGGACAAGGATGTGGTCACAGAGTTCTCAGGCTGAGAATCAATGGAGGTACGTGGTGCTCATCTGCTTATGAGGAAGTGAGGAAGATGCCACTTTCTTGCCTGGTCCACTGATGGGTGAGAGTTCTGGCCTGCTTAATGATCTCCCTCCAGCTTTTCGGGGTTTTTTTTGGTAGCCATAAGAGTGTTTGAGAACTTTATTAACCTAGGTAAGATCATAACTGTCCTCTAACACTGCATGCCAGCAGACTCTCCCTTCACTGATGACAATCTCCAGGAAGCCTAGGTGCCTCAGAATTCCATCATATCATGGTTGGAACTCCCAGCGCACACTCTAAGACACCTCCCAAACCGTGCTCCCAACACACATCCCACCTCTAACACACCCCCCAAACAACACTCTGCACTTGGGTTTACAGAAGTGTTTATTAAACGGGATCTGACAGCTCTGACATCACACTTTCTGGTTTGCTTCTTGCGACCTGGCCATCCAGCTCTGCTGGCTGGGGCTCTGAGGAAAGAGTGCTCTGATGCACAGGAACGTCAGAGGCTGGCCATGCCTGTGCTGGGAGGGTGTCCGTGGCCATCGCATTCCCCTTCCACACACGACAGGGGGAAAACGTCTGGCTCCACTCTGCTTAGACTCTTTCTGTGCACAGGGGCCTGCCTGGGACACCTGGCCCATCAGCCATGGGGCACCATCCTTGCCTACCGCCTACCCATACCCATGTCCCATATTGTTCACTCTTCCCTGACTATGGATGGTCAGATCCTGAGGTCCTGCCTTGATGGCAGCTGTAGAAGCGCTCTGCTACTCTCGCCATCGAAGGCTTGCAGGAATGTCTTGATTAGCCATTTGTCATCTGATTGGAGAGACCTGGGCTACCACAGGAAGCGCTCTGCTTATCTGCTTATCTGGAACACCTGCTGCATTTAGGCGCCAAACTGATACTAGCTTCTGGTTGGCCATTATTTTCATACCTTTGTAAAAATAACTTGTAGGGAACGTCGAAAAGTGTGCAAGCACGAACACAGGTTTCTCATTAGACTGTGGAGCGTGCGCTCTAGGGCTCATTTTATAGAGCCTGGCGTCAGCCCCGACGGGGACTGGGAAGCCACAGGACTCTCCTTCTGACTGTTCTCTCACTGCAGTTGCCATGAAGCATGGTGTGTCTGCTCTTCCTGGCAACAACCTCATGGACCCAACAGCAATTTTTAGAAGGAAAATCTATACTGCAAATCCTTTATAGTTTACAAAGGAACATTTGATTCAATGTCTTTGTTTCTTCTGGGTTAACTGTCACTTCCGTGGCTCCACGGCAGAGAACTTGCCTGCCTGCCCACCTTCCCCCTATCCTCCCGTTTTCCCTCCTCTTCCTCCCCCACCTTCCTTCCATTTTGAAGATGTTTATATTTATCACCTATTCTGCTACCAGGCACTTAAGGATGCCACTTCTCTATGCTGTGTGACCTCTGGGCAGCCTCTGTGGTCCTGCACACAGCGGGCACTGCCTCCTGGGCCCTGGCATTCACTGCTGGAAACTGCCATAGGCTTTTAGTGGCTTTCGGTTTGCATCATCTACTTGGAATCTTGGAAAGGCCATGTGGTGGGGAGGCAGGGAGCCCCCAGCCATGCTTCTGGAATGAGCTTTGCTCATCTGGCCTGGCGTTCCCACAGTGAGCACAGAGTGGTATTGTTTCCCTGAGCGGCTCAGCCCCAGCCCTAGAGCATGCAGAGAATGATGCCAATGGCCGGCTCCTCCTACCAGAGGCCTGCAGCCTCTCTTCCTGGCCCTGAGCAGTCTCGAATGGTCAAGACCCATGGCCACCTTCTCCTGCCTTAGAGACGCTTAAGTTGCTGGTGCTTCCCTGGGCCTTCAGAGATGGGCGGACCGTAGCCTCCTCATGGAGTGCTGGTCCCTGGGTCAGGAGTAAGGAAAGCCCAGAGGCGTTTCCTGGGCAGACATCCTCTGTCCCTTCTGGGCTGAGGCAGTAGCACCTGCAGCCTCGTGTGCAGTGGGAGTGATGGTCTCACTGGGGAATCACAAGGGTTTCCCCACCTGTGGCCAGGAGGAAGGAGCTTCTGCTGGCTTGAGGTGGCGTGAGCCTTGTTCGTGCCTCCCTTGAGGCTTCTGCAGAAATGCTGGCCTGTCACACCTCCTGATGACCGCAGGGGCTCAGCCAGCATGCGGGTGTCTGGTTCCCCTTGAGAAGCTGACCTCAGAAGACACTGAAACTGCAGTGGGGGCCATTGAGCTAGGTAGTCCCCACACTGAGCGTCCTCCAGGCTGGAGCAAGCACTCAGAACAGGCCGGTGGCTGTAAGAGATGACAGGAAGAGTGGGGCCTGGGGAGGGGGGATGATGGGCGTCGTGTCTGAGGTGGTCTCCTCTGGCTCACTGTCCTCATCATCCAGACCTTCGGCGAGGGAGGGGACGATGCGGACCACGTTGTCTTCAAAGTGTACCTGCTTCTTCTTGGCCAGGGAGTTGGCTGGCTCCAGGCTCAGCTCCATCAGGGTGTTGGGAGGCTGGAGGGCACTGGACTTCTTGGTCCCCTTCAGGATGCTCTTCATGTGGATGAAGAGGGAGCTGGGCCCCTCCTTGAGGGCTCCATGGAAGGTGTAGGTTTGCTCTGTGTCCCCAGAGCCGGTGGTGCTCACGGCGCTGCTGGAGGGGTCTGTGTACTGCTCTGGGGAGGCCAGCACCTCGGGGGCAGCTTTCCTCTTCTTCCTCTTGCTCAGAAGGAAGTAGGCCAGGCCGGTGATGATGAGCATGGAGCCTGGAAAAGAGCCGGAGGTCAGGACACTACATGAGTCACAGAGAAAATCCAGAGGCCTTGCATGCGCTGTGGGGCCATGCACAGTCCCCTGTGGCTCTGGCCCTCTTGCCTGGCTTGTTTTCATACCCCACGTCAGATTTGTGGGGTCCATCTGGAGGCTGGGATGGGGATGCGAAAGATGGGGGCTTTGCTTTTCAACTTGGTCTCCCTGAAGGGCTGGCTTCCCCGTATTGTAGACGGGTTCATGAGGAGAGGGCACAGTTTTCACAGACAGGGAGCAGAGAGGAGAAGGACATTAGCAGAAAAGGTCATGGATGAAGCTGAAGAGGTGGGAGCAAGAAATCCTGGGTTCTGCCATCAGAAACCAGGCTGGTCAGTGGTGTGCACCCAGTGAAGTGGAAGTAGATGAGGCTGTGCAGGTTTTCCGTGGTGCCAAGCCAAAGTGCTTTTCAACACAGGCTGAGCAGTTTGGACCTGACGGGTAGACACTGAGGAGATTCGGAAGGGTCTGGGCAGGGAAGTGGTCATGTCGCACCATTGGGAAGCTCAGTGCACACGGTCAGTGGGAAGAAAGGTGAGCTCCCCTTCGTAGTTCCGCTTCTGGATGGCTCTATGCAGGAAGGATGCACTTCTTGGGACATTCCTGCCATTTGGTCAGCATGGAGGATGTCTGGCATTCCTGTGATTCCTCATGCCCACCCTCTAGGTCAGAGAGGACAGTGGGGCAGGTATGGACCCTGGAGCTACCACTGGAGCTGGACTTTGAGGGGTAGCCCCTCTTGCTCAGAGCCCCCCTGTGCTGGGGCTGCAAACTTCTATCCCCATGCTCTTACCTGGGATGGTCACGTGCCAGACCAGGACCGGGTGCAGGAAGCAGGCTACTGACAGCAGCAGGTAGGCCAGAAACTTCTGGAAGCAGCCCAGCCAATGGGCCTTCTCCCTTGCTCTGTCTGCTAGGGACCCTGGTTGACACCTGGGGGAAGGGAGCCCAGGTTAGGAGAATGTGCCCCAGGAAAACCCCAGCAAGACAGGACGCCATGGTCTGAGCCTGTCCCTACTGTGGGCAGGCTCTGCAGTGGGCCGTGGCTGAACAGGAGACCCTGTGGTCCTTGCTGTGGGTTCCACAATGAGTGGGTTTGCCTGAGTCCCTCTAGAGGGTCCACAATTTTTTGAAAGGCTGCCAAGCCCCATCTTTCTGGTCAAGGGGGAACAAGTTAATGCTCTTAGGATGCTGCCTGGGTCAGGGAGGAAGAGAGTGGGAGGCTCAGGGCTCACAGTGCAGAGAAAGTGTGCAGTTCGGGAGCCCTGGGCCGGGGCAGCTGTGCTTGTAGTGTATTGCACAGGAGGCCTGGCCAGGTGGGTGGACATGCTGGAATCCAGCTGTGCCCTGTTCTCCCAGCCTCGCCTAAGCACAGGACAGTGTTGGCCTAGAAGGGCTTCTTTCCTAACTACACAGGACCACGCATGTCCCTGGCAGAAGCCTGAGGCTTAGCAGCTTCCTTCAGGGGCGCTGCCTTCAGGTTTTATAGAGGGCAAGTGCCTGCCTTTAGACCCAGCACCTTCATCCTCTGAATTGGCCTAGAGCTGGGGCTCTGCACAGCCGCATCCTGCCCCTGTAGCTTTGAGAGAGTGCACAGAGTAGGTGGCCCAAAGCACTGCTCTCTTAAGCGCAGCAGGAGGGATTGCCATGGTTCACTGGTGCCCCCTTGCGCCCATTCCTGTGTGTTTCTGGTGGCGGGGTGCAGTGGAGTCCATCCAGGGCTGATTCCTCCCCAGCTTTCCTCCCAGCTGAAGTTTCAAGCATACCTTGGCAGTGGAATTCAGCAGAAAGGGGGAAAGCTTTCTGCCTTAGGGCTGGTGAGCCTGGGAGGCGGCCAGTGGCCTTGCAAGGTGCTGGGACAGCTGGATCTGAGGCCTAGCTCTTTCACTGACCACCCAGGGACCAGTGTTTAGGTTCTGAGAGCCATGGTCCAGGGCCCCAGTCCTTGGTCCCACTGAAGACAGCTTTCACCTACTGAGTGTAGGCTCGGCAGCAGCAGGGGCCTCAAGAGATCCTGTAGGGTCTGCCCTCTTGCCCTATGACGTACCACCCCTGACTTCACCCCCAACCCTAGGAAGAGAGAGAGCCAGTTCCCAAAACCAGCTCTGCTCACTCCCAGCTTGGGGCAGGGTCCTTATCCCATGGAGGATGGTTCAGACACCGGGGCCCAATGAGGGGCGGCTGGACTTTTCTGGGGATTCCGGGCAGGGACAGAGCCTAAATGAATGTGTTGGTTGGTTCTCTTGGTTGGGGCCAAGGCAAAGAAGGCAATGGAGCATGTGTGCCCACCTCCAGGC